CCGTCACACCAAACATGCTCGCCCTATCAGCCGTGGGGGGCGGTTATAATGTGACGGTCAATCCCACTATTCGTTGGTAAAAGAGTAGCCCAAGAGTTGGCGGTGGGTGGTGATGACTAGCTGCCTTCCCTCTAGTCTTCCACTGCTAAATTAGGGACGGCTAGCGCAGATAGCCCTCGTGTAGCTTTGCGCGAAATTCAAAACAAACATACAAGCAAATAAATGTCAAATGGATTTTAATTATAATAATGCAAAATATTGCATGTGGATTATCATAATTTGAATTATAAGTATAATTTGGATGAAAATAATCTTAACAATGTCATGAAAGAAAAATATCTTGATGTAATAGTTGATCAGTCTCTAATGCCATCCAAACAGCGAGCTGTTGCTAATGGTAGGTTTTTAGGTTGCATCTACAAAAATGTTGAATACAAGTTATAATTTAATTGCATAGGTCACTGGTTAGGCCATATTTGGAATATTGTATTCAGTCTTGGGCTTCTTACCTTAGGAAAGACATTTAATTGTTGGAAAATAGCATAGTGCCTGGGATGGAGGGGTTGTCACACGAGGAGAGGTTGAAATCTTTCAAATTGTTTTTTCTTGAAAAAAGAAGAGTTAGAGGGTATCTGAATGAGGCGTTCATCTTTTTTTCATACTTAAAAGTGAGAATAGTAGGATTAAGGGACAGAAATATAAATTTGTGCAAGGTAGGAGTCATCTTCAGTTAAGACACTTGTATTTTTTAACAGGGTGGTTGGCTTTTGGAATGGGTTACCTTCGGATGTTGTGGAAGCAGTAAACTTAAGAGTTTAAGAGAAAGCTTGATAAGTATATGAATGATAAGGGCTGGCTTTAAGATCTTTTTTTTAAATCTATTTATTAACAGTTTAAGTTTGGAACATGTTGTTCCGAAATTTTATATTATGTTATGTTAAAGAGCCTAGAATGTCAAAGCTAGAATATAAAAAAAAAGTTGCTCTTTTATGTAGAGCTAATTGTTAATATAAGTAGACATTATAATAATTCATTCATCTACAAAGACTATATATGGTTACTGAAGTTTACAAAGTAATCTATTCACAAATATTTTAGTATCAGAATACAAGTAGAAATTTAATTCACTCATACAAAACTACACATGTCACCAGAATCTTTTGTTCACACATTGGATATGTCATTGAATTAAACAATAAAATCGTTCATTTACAGGAAATTTTAAATAAATTAGAATAAGTAAATGGGCAAATCATTCATTCTCACAGAACAAAACAAGCCAGCTCTAGTACAAGAAATAAATACATCATTACTACTGACCAAAAATGTCATTCATTCACATAAAACTAAATATGACAGTTTACAGAAATATCAAAATCATTCATTTACAGAGAGATAAATGTCTTAGTACAAATAAATGATCAAATCATTCATTCACATAAAGCTAAGTACACCAGCTCATGTAAACAATGAAATCTTCAGTTGATAACGAATACGTTGTAGTATAAGTAATGAGCCAAATCATTTATTCACATAAAGCTAAGTACACCAGCTCATATAAACAATGAAATCCTCAGTTGATAACGAATACGTTGTAGTATAAGTAATGAGCCAAATCATTTATTCACACAAAACTAAATATATTATCTCATATAAACAACGAAATCATCAATTTGTAATAAATGTGTTGTAGCACAAGTAATGAGTCAAATAATTATGTGACCCCAAACTAAATATGTCAGTTCAATTAAAGTTGTATATTTACATAAATTAAAATATATAAGTAAATGCAAACAATAACATAATATATTAACTAAATGTGTCAGTAAAGTAAACAATAAAACATTCCTTTACAACTAAACTCAATTACTCAGTAAAAATAGACAGCATAATTAATGAATGACATAAAATTATTATATCAAAATAAATAAGCAGCAGCGTGATTAATATATATATATACACAACATTAGATATTTCATTATATGAAAATAATAAAATCTTTATACAAGTAAAAAATGTTAGTGCATTGATAAGACTGTCCAAATAATATGTATAAATCCTATGTGACTTTAAATATGTTAAATATGTATCTAATGGAGCTTTAGATGATTTAACTGAAATGGAAATAATACATGTAATACAATAACACATACTTTGGCTCTATATTGAAAGTGTGTACCCAAAATGATTTTAAGTAAACCTACTAAACAAGAACTTATATTTGTAATTCTGGTCTAAATTATACTAATTAAATAAAACCTATGAATATCTGTGACAAAAAAATGAATATAGTAAAGCAAAACACATATATGTATATATATTCGTTATGCAACTTTTAAACAGTGATACTGAAACAATGCACACAGATGTGATCTCGCTTTTCAGTCATGCTATTGAAACAATACACACGGATGTGATGTCACTTTTCAATCATGCTATTGAAACAATACACATAGCTATGATATCCGATTTAAATGGTACTTTTGAAACAATATCAACCAAATGTGATGTGGTCTACTACTTGTAGATGTTTACACAATACCAGTGTTATTATTCTTTTAATGTTATTAAGCAGCATTCTTGGGTTATAATTTTAGATAATGCTGTTACTTTTGTTGAAACAGCACGTTAGTGTAGCTGACAAAAGGTTTTCGTGTGCATAATAGCCAGAAAGTTGTGTCGTTTGTGTATTAGTTGCATAAGTTAGCACCATATGTTGTATTGACCACGAACAGATGTTTAAGATAGAGATAAGGTGACGTATGAACGACTAAAGAGTCTCCTGTGGTCTAAATCTTGAGGCAATTATCATGTTAGACGTAGCTGAGTAGCTTGCTACTTCATAAATATTTTTTACGAATAATTTGTGCGTTATGATATTTATTGATTACTGATATGTATTTAAGCTACCCTATTTCAATGTGTTGTATTGGCTTATTCCTGTATTTTGTTTATGAATATAAAATGAAATAGTCTTTTTCACACAATATTTTATATTTCGTTTATGTATCGGAGAGGACGAAGCTACCAGTAAGGATATGCAACTACATTAATAATGAAAGAATTTTACGTTCTGCACAATTAAGGGTAATTAAACGAAAATATGTATAATAAAACAATTCACTCTTTCCAGAGTTTATATATCGAATACGTAAAGATCTAATGATATCTGAACAAAATTTGTATAAGGGTTTGACTAGAATTTTAGGTTTCTATTGATATTCCAAACGGGTTCATTACCATGCAGTGATATTTTCATTTATATTATTTTTGGTAAATATTATTCATTGGTTTGAGTTTTTACATGGTAAGTTTTACATTTAAGTGCGTGTTCTTTTAAATGAATGTATCGTTAAGCCTTTGTTCTATCTTAGACATTATGATTTGGAATTTTAGTTAACATTAAAATACATAGGTGCATTAATATCGGATATTAGTAGTGAGTGAAATATAATTGTTGTTATTCACCGCTCATCTGAGTGCAAGTAAATACCATTTATCAGTTTCTGATAGATATTTAAAACCACAGTTAGGTAATTCACACATTTCAGTAGCTGTTTTTTTTTTTCATTTTAGTTCTACTAAATATCAATGGTTAAATACTTTTTTGTATAAATAGAAAGAAAACTACACAAGTAAAAAGAAATATATTCTACAAAAATAATACCGTATAAGTCTGTACTGCATACAACCTAAAATACATGAAGTATACTACGTACCAGAACACAAGAAGATGAATGGTAAATATCAAAAATACAATTACTGGCACGTTGTAAGGTTAGTATACCTGATACGTTTAGGACATTTCATAGAATCAACACAGTAGACTCAGAAAGGTCAATAAGTATTATGAACCCTACATAGTAAGTCTAGTGCTGTAGCTGTGAGATGATTCTGAGGTTCCTAGAACATTGTCCGAGAATTTAGGACTGCAAAACTTCAAAAAAGAGGTTTTCTTTTCCTAATTATTCTTCCCATTTTAAGAAATTTCAAGGCTCGTTTTCATAAGTTCATAACTGAATCAACTGTGTGTCGTAGATGGAACAAATGATTCCAAATAGAATATAATCTATCACTTATATTTATGTGGTGGACTCGGCGCACCGCATAACTTTGCACTTTAAGACAAAAATAACATGTTTTACACCAACCACTCATTCGGAGTATGAAAGAAACCTTTACTAAACCTACGATTTATATACAAGAATAAATCATTGCCGTGTACATCGTCCACTAACTGACACCTAATAATATTTCTAACATCGTACGTTTAGAGAAAACAAACTCTTGAAAATATAACAAAAAAAAAAAAACTGTTGCAGGATGAAGGTCGTGGTTTTCAATAAATAACAATCTGTGTTATAAGAGTTAGACGTGTTACAAAAGTACTTACATGTGACACAGACTTTGTACAGCGGTCGAAGTTTGTGGTCTGTACCCTCTCCAGGTATGTAATCTCCAAGACCAATGGTTGTCAAGGAAATGAAGCAATAATATATAGAGTCCAAGAAGTCCCAGTCAGGCTCCAAATACGAAAGGATAGCAGCAGGAATCAAAAAGAACAGAGAAATTATTGCTGTCTGGAAATGAAAGAAAAATAGACCTGTATCTCTAACTAAATCAAATTACAGTGCTTCAGACAACAAGTCTAACATTGTTTTTAATTCTTCATAGTGTATTGGTGTGTCATAAACAAAGTAAAATAAATAATCTCTCAGTATTCTTCATACAATCTTCTTTATCAATTTTGCGGTATGTTTTATTCTATGTAGTTTTTAGGCGACATTTGATGCCACACATCCATAAGGAAGAAAGAGACTTATTGACTCAAGTTACACAACCATTTACTAGTTTTCCAGTTTACCAGCAATTTCAGCAAACTACAAATGTTGTTTGATTGTGTGTAATGAAATCGAAATAATTTCATTGAGTTTTATTTATAATTATATCTTATGAGGCATACAAGTCAATTTGCATGAAAAATGGCGTTAGTGCATTCTTGTCAAAAAAGAATTGAAAGCAAAATGTCAAATAAATTTGTTAACGCATCTACGTTTTACAGAATTTCGAGCAGGGTTTCGACACTAAAAACATCAACAGGTGATGATGCATTTCCTGGCGAAACCATGGTTGTAAGCTCGCAGTAAGTGTTGTATTTGTGAAACGTACAATTGTCTTGTTTTCCTTAATTCTGTAATTTTGGAGTTTCACCAAGTACCGATGGTTTCAAGTATCAATTATATCTACGTTTTGCTTTAAACACTCGCATTTCAGTGGCAAAAGTATGAAGTTTGATCCAAAATGATTAGTACATGTTGTGTAAAAAAATGTTATTAGTGAAGTAGAGAAACTGGTGAATAAACAGAAAATTTGTAATGTCTTGGTGTTTTTTTACTTCAATTATTTTATATTTTCCTCTCATATTATAAATAATACTGTTACGTTTCTGCTTGTTTGTTAATT